TGTGTATTATGCTGCGTGTTTCTATGGAAGTCACGCAATCCTGTTTGGTTGATGGTGTTGCTGAGTTCTTTTACATCTACTTGCTGGTTTTCTGCCTAGTTGTTCTATCAATTGTTGAAGTGTCCAACTACAATTGTGCATTAATCTATGTTTCCTTCCATTTCTATTGTTTATTGCTCCATATATTTTGCAGTTCTTTTGTTGGCGCATACATATTGCTATGTCTTCTTAATAGAGAGACCTTCCATATTCTCTAATGTCTCTTTCTTGCAGTGGTGATTTTCTCTGCTCTAAAGTCTACTTATGTGGTACACTCCTACTTTATGTTTTTTCTTTCCTTTATTTTTTTGAGAAAGGGTCTCACTATGCAGCCCAGATTGAACTTGAACTCATGATCCTCCTGCCTCAGTTTCCTGAGTTCAGGATTACAGTCCTACCTCTTTTGACCAATGTTTGCATGGTATATCCCTTTCCATTGTTTTACTTTTCAGTTTACCTAAATATTTATATTTGAAGTTATTTTCTTACAGACAGCATATGGTTCATTCATATCTTTATCCATTCTGTCCATCTATGCCTTTTAATTTGTGTATTTACACCATTTACATTTAATGTAATTAAATGTATGTTTGTATGCTAAGGATGAAGTATGCCATTTTATGTCAGCTTCTCTCTTTGCACTCTCTGTTTTTAATTTCTCTGCTTTCTTTTTCCTTCTTTCCTGTGGGTTCTTTGATTTGTCTATAGTGTTTTAAAATATATAACTTTGTATCATTTTTACAGCTTTTTGTGGTTGCTATAGGTATTACATTACACATAACTTATCAAAATCTATTGGATTCAACATTTCACTAGTTCAAGAGAAGTATAGAAACCTGACCTCCTTTTACATCTCTTTAAAATCTTCTCTGATTTGAAATATGCTTATCTTAAATGTTTTCTCTATATACATTTAGAATAGACTTAGACAGTGTTATAGTTTCTGATTTTACTGTCAAACATGATTTCTCCTTCCATGTTCTTTCTTCTCAGTGCTCCATTTTTAGAAAAATTATTTCTTTTCTGTTTAGAGAATTCCATTTAACTATTCTTTTAGGATGTCTTCATTGCACAAAAGTTCTCTTAGTTTTCCTTCATCTAAGCATGCCTTGATTTCCATTTAATTCCTGAAAGATATTTTCACTAGAGATAGGAGTCCAGTCAACACTTCTTTTCTTTCAGCATCTAAAAAATATCATGTCATTTTCTTTTGGCCTTCATATTTCTTTTTTTTAATCAGAAATCTACTGCTACTTGAATGGTTTTCCCATTAATGTGTCATTTCTCTATGGTTGCTTTCAAGATTTTCCCATAATTTTTGAAGTTAGGGATATTAGAATTTTGACTATGGTTTGTCTCACATGAATTTGGAGGATGAGTTTATCTTGTTTGGGGTTTACTCAGGTTCTTGAATCTGTAGATATTTGGAGCATGGAGGGTGTTGAGTGTCAAATTAAGCAAATTTGATGCCATTATTTCTTCAAAATTGTTTTAGGATCACCTTCATTCCTCTCTCTTCTGTGACTCTGACTACACAACATTAGATCTTTTATTATGTTCACACCTGTTCCTGAGGCACTGGGGTTTTTTTTCACTCTATTTTCTCTCCATTCAGAAGGTGGGGGTAATTTCTATTGGCCTATGCTCTGCTTCAATGAGTTTTTTTCTTCTGTATACTCCTATTGTGGAGCATATCTACTAACATTTTTATTCAGTTATTGGATATTTAGTTCAAATACTTCCATTTAATTCTTCTTCGTATTTTCTATTTTTTTCATTTGTTTCAGTGCTCACTGGAGCATTTTTATGATGGCTACTTTAAAATCTTTGTTAGATAATTATAATAACTTATCATTATGATGTTTGTGTCTATGGATTATCTTTTTCCACTCAGTTTAAGGCTCCCTAGGTCTTTTTACTAATTAATTCATTAATTTTTGGTGGTACTGGGGTTTGAGCTTAGGGCTTCAGGCTTGCTACACAGGCACTCTACTTCTTGAGCCATACCTCAGTGTCCCCCTCCCCATTCTCAGTATCATGAGTAATTTTCAGTAGAAACATGGAAAGTTTCATTATTAAAGCAGTCTGGATCTTAGCTAAATGCTCAAGCAAGTGAGAAGCCCTGAGTTCAAATTCCAGTCCCACCAAAGATAATCTTATTCTTTAGCAGGCATCCCCAGGGATTGCTCCAGTGAATAATGATACTGTCTCATTGCTTCCTGTTGGGGTTACAAGTCCAAGTTCTCCACTCAGTCTACCTTGAGACCTGGCATGTGAGGTATTACTGGGTAGGTGGGAGCTCAGACCCCCTACTGGGTATCCACTAATAGCACCCTGGCTGGAAGGGGAAGGGTGTCCCATTACTGTCCCCACAGAGCTCTCAGTGCTACTTGGGGAGAGGACCAGTGAGTGGGGTGAATGTTTTGGCTTCACTAGGCCCCTCTGATGCCCTTCCAGTGAAGGCAGAGAGTGCCTCACCAGCACACTGGGCTGGTGGTGGACACTGACATTGCAGCGAGGGCGATCCAGGTGGGCATGAAAATCTCAGATCCCTACTCTGTCACCCCTGCAGTTGAGCATGAGAACTCATCTGGACTCTGTTACAGCCTGGCAGGGGTGAAACCTTAGGTCCCCCCTCAGCCTTGGCCAACACAGGTGAAGATGAGCCTGCTGGTGTTTTAAGTGGTATTTGACTGACCTAGAGCTGTTACTGATGGAAGAACTCTCTTTCTAGGACACCACCTTCTTGGTTCTTTGCCTAAAAACAAAAACAGTTTTACTGGAACTCTTTTTTTTTTTTTTGTCGTTTGTTGGCTTCCAGTCTGGAATAGAAGAAGCAAAGAGAAGACCTAGGGAAGTTACAGCTGTGCCATTCATTGGGTTCCAAGGTCTCTCGCTGGCCTGCCACGCTCCTCCCAGTCTTCTGCTTGTTACAATGCCTAGGGGTTGTAGTTGTATTTAGCAGAATGAGTCAGTTTTCTAGAGTTGTGGGGTTGGTATCCGTGGATTCAACTAACCATGGATCAAAAGTGTCGTGAGGCCTAGGGTGATTGCATCTGTACCAAAAATGTACAGACTTTTTTCTTGTCATTAGTCCCTAAACAATACAGAATAACATTTGCCTACATTGCATTTGTACTGCGTTAGGTGTTAGAAGTGTTCTAGAGTGAACTTAAAGTATAGGGAGGGTTGTGAGGTTCTATGCAAATGCTGTCATTTGTATAAAGGTTTTGAGCACTCACGGATTTCGCTATCCCTGTGGAATCAAATCCCCATGGCTGAGAAAAATACCTGACATCACACCTTAAAGGAAGCAAGCTGTATTCTGGCTCACAGTTTCAGAGGCTTCAGCCCATGGCTGGCTCCATGGGTGCAGAGCACCTTGGGAGCAGGAGCATCTGGTAGAGCAAAGCAGCTCGTGTCATGGTAGCCAGGAAACAGAGAGAGGAAGGGACCAGGTGACAAGGTACCCTTTAAAAGCACACCCCTGCCCCATGCGACCTACTTTCTCCAGCTAGACTCCACCTCTTAAAATTTCAAGCACCTCCCGAAATAGCACCAGCTGGGGGCCAAGCCTTCAACCCAGATAGCTGTGGGGGACATTTCTGATTCAAATCATAACACCATGGCCACTGAGAGGTGACTGTGCATCTACCCTATCTTCCCAGAATATCACCACTCTTTCTGACTCCGCCTCTATGGCCAGCTGCCCTTTGGTGCAGTAATGTCTGATGAAGAAGTTCTCAGAGACTCCTGTCTTTTCCTTAGGATTTTGCACGGCTTAGGTGCCTGCCTCGTTCTGCTCCAAAGACGCTCAGTGACTGATAAAAGTAATGAGCTCCAGTCTTGAGACTTTCCTATCCCATAATTCTTCTTCCTTCCTGAAGTCCTCGTGCACTTCCCTCAGCCCCGGGGTCAGAGCCCCACTGTTTCTGCCTAGAACTGGAAGCAGTGGGGATGATAGTCACTAGATGGTGTCACCAAACTGCAAATACCTTCAGTTGTTCCTTTCCCAGCAGGCCAGCAGCTCTAGGCCTGGCTTGAGTCAGTAGCATTTCCTGAGAGCTGGGTAGAGGGGGGATGTGCACAGCCACCCCAGAAATTAATGCAATAGAGAAAATGCATGTTCTGAACCTAAGACCTGATCACAGTCAAGTGCGCCTTCCAAAGTGACTCCAGACCTACATCCCCTCCTCTGCCTCTTTCCCGTTCCCCAGCTCACAATGCCTCTTGGTTACCTCAGAGCCACAGAGAGGCAGGGGTGTGGTTAAGAACAGTGAAAAAAAAGCAGTCACTAGAGCTCTCACTCTTCTTCCCGTTTCACTCTCAGACACTGCTGGGGACCCTGACAAGGGAAGACACGAGGAAACAGGTAAATGCCATTTGGTTTTTTTTTTTTTTTTTCTTCATTCAGCAAGCAAGTATGGAGTGGTCACTATGAGCCGGCACAACACCCAGAGCTGGAAGCAAAGCCGAGCCTTCCCTTTCTCCCTCTTGCCTGCATTACAACAGGGTGTACACAGGCTCCTGTTTGTGAACACCCCATGGCCAGGCGTGGGAGCCTTCTGAGAGTGTGGTGAGCCATTGGCTGCCCAGAAGGAATAGTGGAGTCGGGGAAGCTGGCTCCAAGGCCCTGCACACTGGTACACAGGCCATGCTCTGGACAGCGTGTCTCTGTCCTGGGCCTTTGTGCCTAATGTCTGTGGCCTCCACACCCCACCAGACCTCCTCAGCCTTACAATTCCCAGGCCCTGGTCCCCCTGTCTGTGTTCCCGAGACTGCCCCGAGCTCCCGGGTGGTGTGCAGCTCTGCTCTGGGATGTCCCAGGTTCTGCTGGGATGTGGCTAGTGAATGCTGCCCCGGGCAGGGGTGAGGGGAGCTCAAAGCTGTCCCTCAGAACATCAACCCTGCAACTCTGCAAAGCCTTTGGAAGAGCAGGCAAAATAGATCCCATGGCCAGAGAAGTCTGGGTGATGTCCTTTACTCTAGCCCCGTGCTGGAGATGTGTCTTGCAGGCAGAGCTCATTGAAAAGGTTGAAAGGTCCCACAATGCAGAATCTTGTTTAACTTTTTAAACCAGCTTTTCCCAAGTGGCTGTGACCTTGAAGATGTTTTTGTGCAAACACTACTTGGACCTACGGAGCTGAGGTCAGCTCTGCCTGGGAAGACGTGACCCTGCTTCAGCTCATGGTCCCTGCCCAGGCTAAGCCAGCCCAACACCTGGGAACAGGAGCCCTCCTGCTTTCAGCTAGTGGCTTGGCTTTCCCCACACCTGGTACCAGGCCCCCAGCAGCCCTCTGCCTGGGCCCTGCACGAGGTGACAAACAGGCAGAGAGCAGGGCACTGATGCGATGCACAGCAGGTGGGTGGAAGGGTCTTGGGTCCCCCCGCTGACACCGGAGTCACACTCTATTGGCACATCCTGCCGGCTCCCCGGGGGGCCAGCTCTGAGGTTATAACTGTTAAGTTTAACTCTCTGTAGAAGTATAGGAAGGTGAAAGGTGAGCTCACTGCACTAAGAGACAGGTATCAGTTGCAAGTTGGTGGCCCTGGGCTGCCTTCAGCCCATGGATAGATTCTGTTAGACTAGCAGCGTGTATTTGTGTATTCTTTTGATTTTGAGACAAGTTATGTCTCAAAATAATATGTAGCCCAGGCTGGCCTTGAACTGGTGATCTTCCTGCTTCAGCTTCCTGAGTGCTGGGATTACAGGTGTGTGCCATCACTCCTGGCGTATTTTTTTTAACATTTTTATCAGCACATCTTAGTTGTACATAAGGGTTCACTGTGACATTTCCATATCTACTTACAATGTACTTTGGTTAGCAATTGTCCCCCATCTCATATTGTTTTTTAAAGCGAGACATTTCACATGTAAATATGGTTTCGTCCTTCTATTAAAACCATGGTGGGCTGGTGGAGTGGCTCAGGTGGTAAACCGCCTGCCTAGAGAGCATGAGGCTCTGAGTTCAAACCCCACTGCTGCCAAAAAACAAACAAAAAGCTCCATGGATAATCAGACAGTGTAAGGCCCACATTCCCACTTGGCAACAACAGGCTGGAACTGAGACAGTCCCCACCTTTAGACAAGGCATGACCTTTGTTCCCACCTGGTTGATGCTTCCTCCTCAGTCCTTTGGGCCACATTCTCCTAAGATCTTCCAGCTCCCTCTAAATTCTTTTTTGGTGGTACTGGGGTTTGAACTCAAGGCCTTCTGTTTGTTGGCAGGTGCTCTATCACTTGAGTCACTTTGCCAGCCCAGCTCCTTCTAAACGCACTCCTGGCATCATACTTCATTATTGGTTTTATTTACTTATATACTTATTTGTTTTTGTGGTGCTGGGGTTTGAACTCAAGGACTTAAGCTCTACCACTTGACTTGACCCACTCCACCAGCCCTTTTTGCTTTAGCTTGTTTTCCAGATAGGGTCTCTCACTTTTACCTAGGCTGGCCTCAGACCTTGCTCCTCCAATCTCTGTCTACCAAATAGCTGGGATTACAGGTATGAGCCACCACGATCAGCCTTTCATTAGTAGATTTAGAATGACCCTGATTTTCCAAATCACCATGTCTCCCCCGGGGCAAACTCCTTGTTACCCAGTGCTTGGTGTTCAAGGCACACAGTGGTCTGGTGTATGCCAGACCACACTACCACTCAGAGCCTGGGAGCTGGGTGGGAAATAGTAGAAAATGACAGGTGGGAGAATGAATGAATGGAAGGACGAGAGGGAGGGAGTAGGAAAAAGAAGGGAAGGAAGCTCTTAGGATGAAGAAGCACACGGGTTGAGAGAAGTTTCCAGGAGCATCCCAAATTCCACATCCTCACCATGCAACCAGACATGTCCCCAAGAGCAGAAGAAAGGTGCCAGAGCTCAGTGGGTGAGCAAGAGGTAAGTGACCAGATGACAAACTCTTCCTGCTCAGGGTCCTGTCCAGGCACGACACCATGTGTGTCCTCCACCTCTGGCTCCTCCTGCTTCTGGGTAAGGATTGTGGCCCAAGTAGGTACCTGGATTTTGGGGTGTCCGTGGGCACTGGAGAAGGATAGACCTGGGGAGGAGAAGAGGACACATGAGGTGGGTGGCAGTGTGCATTCGGCATCGGATGTGCAGTTCTCCCTGGCTCGCTCCTCTGCCTGTTACTCCGTCTCTCATGCGATTCTCAGTAGGGCTTTCTCATCACTGTCATGAGTTTCAGAGTACCTGGCTGCCTATCCCTCAAAGAATTGGGAGCTTGACCATCCTCAAACCCTCTACGCCTGGGAGGGGGCCTGCATCTGGATTCCCTGTCAGTACTCAGTCCCAAGGTACAAGGGTCCCTGAAAAATCTCATCCTGTTCCACAATTATGTGTACGATGACACCATCAAGGACTTCAAGGGGACTGTCCTCTATAATAACACAAAGCCTGGCGAGTTCCCTCCTCAGCTGGGAAGGACACAGTTCCTGGGAGACAGAGAAAGAAACTGTACCCTGAAAATCGACCCGGTGCACGTCCAAGACAGTGGCAAGCTGGGGCTGAGGATGATATCAGAAAAGGACAAATGGATGGAGGAGATTCACCTCAATGTCTCCAGTAAGGCCCTGGGGAATGGAGTCTCCTGCCATTGATGGGGGAGGAAGGAGAGAGGTGGGAAATACTTAGCTACCTGCAGAGGCCAGGTGGGAGTGCTAGCTGGAAAGGGACAGGGAGAGTAGAAGATGGGGCTGTGGCCCGATGCCCACCTCAGGCACACCCCACCCCTCAGCTTCTGCCCTTCCGGAACCCAGGGTTTAGTTTGCCCAATCTTGTGACCTTATAAGAAAAGGTAAAAACCTTTTTTTATCATTTATTTATTTTTGCAGTACTGGGGCTCGAACTCAGAGTCTACACCTTGAGCCACTCCACCAGCCCTTTTTTGCGAAGGGTTTTTTCAAGATAGGGTCTTGCAGAACTATTTTCCTGGGCTGACTTTGAACCTTGATCCTCCTGATTTCTGCCTCTTGAGTAGCTGGGATTATAGGAATGAGCCACCAGCACTCAACTCGTAAGATCTAGATTTTTGAGTGACATCTTCCAGTGTGTTGATGTTGGTGACCAAGTCTAGTGTGGATATGACCGCCAAATGTGGTCAGGTGTTTAATCCATCCACGGCCTGTTTCTTCGGTGCTCAGTGCTGAGCAGTTCTGTGTTTGGGGTGGGAAACGCCCCTCCAGAAGCCACAGTCAAGGGGGGTCTACCGTGGGGGACAGCCCTGCCTCCCCGCCCACCCTGCTTAAAGGGGTGCTGGATCAGGTTTCTCCGAGATTGAGGCCATAAACAAATACAAGTAACTCATCAAAGGTCTCTCTCTCTCTCTCTCTCTCTTTTTGTGGTACTGGGGTTTGAACTCAGGACCTACACTTTGAGCCACTCCACCAGCCTTATTTTTGTGATAGGTGTTTTTGAGATAGGGTCTCATGCATTATTTGCTTGGGCTGGCTTTGAACCGTGATCCTCCTGATCTCTGTCTCCTGAGTAGTTAGATTACAGGCGTGAGCCACTGAGCCAGGCCAAAGGTGTCTTCAATGCTAGCAATACCTGGTCAAAATCACCCAGGGGTGGTCGCAGAGGACATCCTGAGACCAGTAGGAAGCAAACACGAGGAAGTGTCAAATACGATTTCCAGGGAAGCTTCCTGTTGCCAGGACCTCTCAGATGTCATCTCACCTGAGCAGAGAGGCAGAGTGACCTAGCAGGGGACTCCTCTGGGGGCTACTTGGGACCAGGTGTGGAAGGCTGGGATGGGTCCCAGCGCCCAGGTCTCCAGCTCCTCCCTGCTCTTTGCAGAGACCCCTCTTCCACCTCGCATCCAGATTCCTCAAGAGATTTTGGAATCCCAGAGCATCACGCTGACCTGCTCGCTGGATTTTGCCTGCTTTGGGTACCCCGTCCATTTACAGTGGTCCCTGAAGGGGTCCACTAGTAACTCCATCTCGCTTTCCATTGAGAACGTCCGAACCTACAGCCATCTCACCTTCCAACCACAGTGGACTGACCACGGGAGTAACCTGACCTGCCAGGCCACGAATTCCACTGCCGTGCTCTCTGAGGAAACGGTGCAGCTGCACGTGCAGTGTGAGTCTCTCCGGTGTCCGATGGGAAGGACACCGTCCTTGTCACCTTCTCCCCAGTCCCCACTGGGCCCTACCAAGGGGAAGAAGGCCCTGTCTAGATGAGTAACTAGTCTGGTATTAGTTGCCAGCCACTGCAAAGGGCCCAGGCTCTCCTGCCATCTACCCTGTCAGCCCTGGGATTTCAGGACACAGATTCATCTCAGCCTCCACCTTTGGTCTAACAGAATGAAACAATGTAAGCTGGGTGGGATGGTGCATGCCTGTAATCCCAGCACTCAGGAGGCTGAGGCAAAATGATCTAGAGTTCAAGACCAACCTTGGCTATCTCAAGAAACCATGGATTGGAGATGTAGCTCAGTGGCACAGTGCTTGCATAGGCCCTGGGTTCAATTCCTAGCAGCACAAAAGAAAAAAAGTAAACAATCTCTCCTCAATGCCTGGCCTGCTCTTGGGATCACCTGGTTAGTTTTCTTTGTTTCCTCTTGAGGGGAAGTTTTCACATCAGTGTTTTGTGTCTCATTCATTCATTCAATGAATATTTTCTGTGAGCCTACTGGAGAGATACCAGGCTCGTTGCGGCTACCAGTGTGGGTGCAGGACTCAGCAGTAAGCCAAATTTTGCCCACCTGGAGGGTGGGCAAAATATACAGAACATAACTGCAGGTAGTGATAAGTGTATTAAGAACAGATAAATTAATTTTAAAAAGAAGAAAAGAAGGCAGGGTGAGGGCGGGGGGATGAGTGGAGACTTCTCACAGGCTGACATGAGTGGAGGTAAGACCTGGATCCAGGGAGAAATTAGAGCAAATCCGAAGACTTTGAAGTGAGAACTCTGTGCCTGTGACAGCAAAGTTCATAGCCTCCGAGGGCCAAGAAGTAAGAGAGGGAGGAAGTCGAAGGATGGGACGCTAGGGACAGAGCTTTAAGCAGGAGCAGACGAGTTCTGATGGACAATATTAAGAATTCTGCTGCCTGCTGAAGAGACCAGAGGTAGGGGACATGAGAAGTGGGGAGCAGAGACACGAGTGAGGAGGCTGTGACCTCACCTAATAAAAGCACCACTGCTGAGATTTCCCATCCCCTCCCCAACTGCTATCTGTTCCTCCAGACACTCCGAAGTTGAAGATCGAGGTCAGTCCCAGTGATGCCACTGTCATAGAAGGGGAGTCTGTGACCATGACATGCCAGGTCACCAGCAGCAACCCAGAGTACAAGACTTTTTCCTGGCTCAAGGACAGTACTCCCCTGAAGGAGCAGAAGACGCTCACGCTGACTCTGCCCACAGTGGACAGGCACATGAGTGGGAAGTACAGCTGTCAGGCCTCCAACGATGTGGGCAAAGGACTGTCTCAAGAAGTGAACCTCCAAGTGCTCTGTGAGCACCCTCACAGCTGGCCGGGGGGCAGGGACTTAGCACGGTCTTCAGGAGGAGACAAGGGGGGGCTCTCGTGGATGCTTGCTCAGGGGTCCTCACCTCCGCACTTGCCTCTGCTTCTTCCAGATGTTCCTGAACCGTCCAAGGTTCAGATCCACCCGTCACCTGCTAAGGAGGGAAAAGCAGTGGAGCTCATCTGCGTATCACTGGCTAGTCCTCCTGCCAGCAACTACACCTGGTATCACAACGGGAAAGAAATGTCGGGAACAACACAAGAGAAATTCCAGATCCCCAATGTCCACCTCTCGGATGCTGGGAGTTACGCCTGCTTGGCAGAAAACAAGCTTGGTCAAGGACATATTGGCGACAAGGCCACGCTGGACGTCCAATGTGAGCAGTCATAGTATCTGCGGTTCTTGAGGGAGAAGCAGGAAATAGCGGAAGGAAGGCAGATAGGGTGCAGGGGATCCCCGGGTCCTAGGACTAAGCACAGACATAACAGGATCTCCTAACACATGACCTTCTGCGGCTTTGCTGCACCTAGCCCAGAGCCTGGATCATGGTGGATATTCAGTTGATGTTTGTTGAATGAATGAATGAATTACAAGATGTTGAGCAGTGGCTGAGTCCATAAAGAAGTCCTAGAAGTTTCAAGGACTAGGGCAAATGTCTCCTTACCTGTCCACTGCCAGACCTTCCTTAGCACAGTGACTCTTGTCACTGCCTTGATCCCAGGACAGAAAGAATCCATAGGTTTGATCCTTAGACTCTGAGGTGGCCGGTGTGTGGACAGGGTTGTCCAAACCCTGCACATCTGGCTCCAGAGCTGTGCTCCAGCTTGACTGACCCTCCTTCCCTTAAACCACAGTGGGGCCAGATGGCCACAGATGCAAGAGGGAAGCCCACCTGGATTAACTCAGGAACATGTGACTGCAGGGACAGGTGGGGGGCACAGGGAGAGGAAGCAGGAAGGAAAAAGACATTGTGAAAACCAGCCTTGCTTTACTTACCTCTCTGGTCTACTCCCAGATGCCCCCAAGGAGGTGACTGTGATGATTCAAAATGCCACACCGATTCGAGAAGGAGACAGCGTGACCCTGTCCTGTAGCTTCAACTCTAGTAACCCCAGTGTCACCCGGTACAAGTGGAGCCCTCAGGACTCCTGGAGTGAGCTGACATCTGGGGTGCTGAGGATTCAGAGGGTCGCCTGGAATGCCATGCCCATCAGCTGTGCAGCCTGTAACCAGTGGTGTTCATCGTCTTCTCCTGTCAGCCTGGATGTCCAGTGTGAGTGATGGGCAGGGGGACCCAGCAGGTGGCCTCTTTGGGATCTGACGATCAAAGGGTGAGGAGACAGGCCTAGGTCACAGTCTTCAACAGAGAATTGAGGGAAGGTGGGGCAAGGGGACAGAAAGACCTGGGGGGTGGCAAGAGGGCAAGAGGACAAGAAGTCACCTGAGGCCCTGGTCCCACAGATGCCCCCAAGGATGTGAGGGTCCTACAGATCAGTCCTCAGTCAGAGATTCATGCTGGGCACCGAGTCCTCCTCCGATGTGATTTCTCCAAGAGCCACCCCTCAGAAGTGCACTTCTTCTGGAAGAAAAATGGAAGTCTTCTACAAGAAGGAAGAGAACTGGAGCTCATCTCCATCTCCCCCGAAGACTCCGGGAATTACAGCTGCATGGTCAGAAACTCCATAGGACAGACCTCATCCAAGGCCTTGAGGCTCCAAGTGTTGTGTGAGTGCTCCAAGGAGCTGGAGGTTGACAGCATAAAACAGCAGGTGGCAGGTGATCGGCACCGGAGCCCTGACTTGGTTTCCCCTTGCAGATGCACCCCGGAGGCTGCGTGTGTCCATTAGCCCGGAAGGCGGAGTGATGGAGGGGAGGAGTGCAACCCTGACTTGTGAGAGTGATGCCAACCCTCCAGTCAGGCAGTACTACTGGTTCGACTGGAATAACCATGACCTCCAGCACATGGGGCAGACGCTCAGACTGGAGCACGTGAAGGTCAAGCACTCAGGCTCCTACTGGTGCCAGGGGGCCAACCGGCTAGGCATGGGCAGGTCGCTGCCCAGCACCCTCTCTGTCTACTGTAAGCCCTTCCCTCTCCTCCCAGCCTCCCTTCTGGCCTGGCTATCCTGCGGGTTCCCCCCAGGGCCATGCTGGCCAAGCCACAGCTCCTCCTACCCCATGCCCTACATCTCCCCTGTCTGCCCCCATGGGCCAACCCAGCCTGTCCACCCCTCCTGCTCCATAGCCTGTCGCTGTCAGTGCCCCTGTCTGTGACTGCCTGATCTGCTGTCACTCTCCTGCTTCTGTCTGCTGGGCCTACCTTCCAGATGCCCCCAAGTTCCTCCTGAGACTCTCGCTCTACCCCTCTCCCTTCCTTTCTCCCTCCCTCTCCCTCTGCCTCATCTTATTTTTATCTTTTGAGACCTTCATGTTTTTCAGTAAGATAAGACCAATGCATGGAAAAAAATTTTAAGCAAAGTGGCAGAGCGCTTGCTTGGCAAGTGTGAGGCCCTGAGTTCAAACCCCAGGGCCACCAAAAAACAAAAAACAAAACGTAAATAGTGAAAAGATAGACACCCTCACTGTGGACCTCTGAGATCTCCGGTCCCTTCCCTGGAGGCCCCCACTTCCAGTGGCTTGTCACCTCTTCCCGCAAGTTATTCTAACATGCGTGATACATACATGTAGCCACGTGCCCATCAGCACCTCCTGGCTACACACTTTGCTCTGGACTTTGCTTTTTACTGTGTCATCAGAAGGCTTGGAGAGTTTGTTTTGTTTTTTCTTTCTTTTTTTTGAGACAGGGTCTCACTATGTAACCCAGGTTGGTCTGGAACTCACAATCCTCCTTCCTGCCTGATTCTCCCAAATGCTGGGATTACGGGCATGCACCCAGCTTTAGAGATCATTCAGTATCTCTGCACATCTGGTGTCTGAAGATTATTAATTTATTGTACTTTTTCACATTAATGACTGAAGCCGTGGCTTCAAATTTAGATTCTTGACACATAGAGCCCGAAGCTAAAGGAAACACCCTGGTCCAGTCATGGGAAATGTAACCGACACTTTATATTTGTGCTCTGGGACTCGACTTTGTAGACACCTAGCACCTGCTTCATTTCTTAGCGTGGTTTGTTTTGTTCTGGTGGTACTGGGATTTGAACTCAGTACCTTGCACTTGCTAGGCAGCTCTAGCAAGTGCACTTGAGCCACATCCCCACTCCTTTGGTTATTATCCTTATTTTTTTTTGGTGTGGCTGGGGTTTGAACTCAGGGCTTTGCGGTTGCAAAGCAGACCTTCAACCACTTGAGCCACAGGTCCATTTTTCCTCTCGTTATTTTGGAGATGGGGGCCTCAAGAACTGTTTGCCTGGGCTGGTCTTGAGTCATGATCCTCTCAATTTTAACCTCCCAAGCAGCTAGGATTGCAGGCATGAGCCACCAGAGCCAAGCTGCTTTGGGTTTTTTTCGAGGTAAAGTCTTTCTTTATGCCCTGGTCCTCCTGGACTGCAATCATATTTATGCCTATCTGGAGCAACAGGTGTGTGCCACCATACCCAACTTTTATTGATTAAAATGGGGTCTCAAATTTTTTGCCCAGGGTGACCTCCAACCTCAATCCTCCTAATGGCTACTTCCTGAGTAGCTGGGATTACAGAAATGAGCCACCATGCTGGGCATGGGCCTACATATTTTCAAAGGCCTACCTATTGTGCCCTGAATGATTGAACACTGCCCTCTCATCTCCCCAGTGCCCTCAGCAGGGTGGAAGTGTGTGGTCTCTTGCAAGGACAAGTGCACTATAAATTCCTACGTGGAGGCACCAGGTCCAAGAATGGGTGCATTTTAAGTTCTGAGAGTCTGGCTAAAGTGCTCTGAGGGTGAGGGTAACAGGCTATCCTTGGGCTGAGCCTGTTGAAAAAGCTCCTGCCTTGGGGAAAGACTTGGCTCTTTCTTTGTCATGGGAGGTCCCCAGGGCAGGGCCCCTTCTTGCTCTCTGCACCACTCTCCCATTTGGGGAGGAGAAATGCACAGGCACCCGTGTCTCCTTTCTCCACCAGATAGCCCGGAGACCATCGGCAGGCGAGCCGCCTTGGGACTCGGGGTCTGCATGGCTGTCCTCATCTTGACCATCTGGGGGGTGAAACTTCGGCGCAAGTGAGATCCTCCTGCTGCCCCCGCTCCCTCCCCCTCACTGGCCTAATCTGGCCTCCAGTCACTGCTTCCAAGCCTGGATCTGCAGGGTCCTGTTCCCATTCCCCCACCCTCACGGAGTCTTTGTTCCCAGATGGAAGAGGACACAGAGCCAGCAGGGGCTTCAGGAAAATTCCAGTGGTCAGAGCTTCTTTGTGAGCAATAAAAAGGTAGGGTGTGGAGGCCTCTAACCCGGCAACTCAGAAGGCAGAGATGGAGGCCCGTGTTGGGGGGGAGGCAGTTCAGAAGACCCCATCCAAAAAGCAAATTAGGCTCAAGTAGCAGAGCACCTGCCTAGCCAGCCAGTGTGAGGCCCTGAGTTTTTCAAGTCCCAGTTCTAAGGGAGGACCACAAAATGTAGAGTAGCCTTTGACGCCAAGTGAAGAACGTAGGTGAAGAAAGTGGTAGACATCTTCTGAGGCTGGGTGTGGCAGCCATCGCTGTAATCCCAGGACTCGGGAGGCTGAGGCAGTATCACGAGTTCAAGGCCAACCTGGGTTACACAGAGAGACCCTGGCGCACACACTCACAGTCCTCTGGGGAGATCCAGGGCATCAGGCCAGGAAGGGAATGGGAGATCAGTGCTGCAACCTTGCCTCCTCCAGGTTAGAAGGACCCCCCTCTCAGAAGGCCCCCGCTCCCTGGGCTGCCACAACCCGCTGATGGACGATGGCGTGAGCTACGCTGCCTTGCGCTTTTCCGAGACTGATGCTCCAAGAGCTGGGTACTGAGAGCACCTGTGTCCCGGGAGGGATGGGGGAGGGAACGCTGGTGTCCCTTCTGCCGTCTTTGTGCCAGGCCATGCCAGGCACTGCCATATACTCATTACCTCATTCCTGCACCATAACAATCCTTCGGGTAAGTGACCGTCCCCAAAACAAGGCCTGTTCAAGCCAGGGGCACGTGTGCCAAGAGCCAGCCTTTGTCACCCAGGCCAAGGTGTGGTCACAGCACGCATGAACACACACACATAGACACACATTCAGCACATTTTTATTTAGTTCCTTCTGTGCCTCTGAGCATGACGGACAGAGTTGTTTTCCCAATCGGGGGCTGAGGTAGGGGTGGCCGCTGGGGGACGAGGGAGTTGGGAGGAGAGTTCATGGGAAACCCTCCATGTGTGGCCATTCATCTGCTATCTCTTCCAGAGATGTGGGAACTTCAGAAACACAAGGTCATGTCCCAAACAACGATGACACAGTCACTTATTCAGTGGTGCAGAAGCAACTCGTGGTAAGAATGCAGGGCTGTGGAAGGTTGGGGGACCAGGGCCTGTCTTCAGCCCTGTATGAGACTGACTTGGGTAGACATCAGTGTGAGCATTGGCTGGGAAGACTGTTGTCTTAGTCTGTTGTCTGTGGCCGTAACTAAATACCCGATACTGGTAGTTTATAAAGAAAAGAGGTTTACTTTGACTCATGGTTGATTTTGGAGGTCCAGCATCAAGGGCCGTCTTGCTGCAGAGTCCCGAGGTAACACAGGATGTCACATGGGGAGGGGGCACATGCCAGAGTGTGCTCAATTTTATAACAAAAGCTGCACCTTGATAACCCATTATTCTTTAACCCAACCACCTCCCAAGGGGCCCACCTCCAAATACCATGAACATAGGGTTTTGAGGATGAGGTTTCCAACACATAAAATTTGGGGGACAGAGTTAAATGATAGCAGCGGCTCAGGCAGAGCAGAGTTAGAGGCCAGGGCAAGGCACCCCCATGGCTGAGGGGCCGAGCACAGCAGCAATCTGGACTAGAGGACCCTGCTTGGGCCTTCTAGACCTCCAGGTGGAATATCCAAGAGAAAGCTGGGAGAACCAGTGGCAGTGCTGGCTGTCATCAGGCCAGACTTAACACGGTGTGACTTTCTCAGGGTGACTACGAGAACGTGACTCCAAGTTGCCCAGAGGATGAAGGAATTCATTACTCAGAGCTGGTTCAGTTTGGGGCTGGAAAACGGCGCCGGATGCAGGAAGACGTAGAATATGTGACCCTCAAGCAATGAGGTTGGAACAAGTGGTGGTGGACACTCCCAGAGCCAAAGGGGCCCAGAAAGTTCTAGAGCTTTCCCCAGCTGCTACAGTTCAGCAGGGCCTTCTCCCTGCACATGTGCACACATGCAATCGCTGTGCCCGGCCCCAGCCAGCCCTCCTTCTCAGCACTGGTAACCCCGACCCCATGTTGTACAGTTCCTCCTGCTCCCCAACCCCAGCCACCTGCCACCATCCACTCCCACGCAAGCCTGACCCCAGCTGGATATGTCCTTGCTGAGATCAGCTTGTCACTAACATTCTTCTTCCCTTCCCTGTCTCTTTGACCCCCCTCACTTCCACTCACCAGGCCTCTGCCCAATTTCTAACCCTGAGGGAAGTCCCCAGGGAAGGACAGAAATGAGGCAGAAAGAGGCACTGTCCCCAGCTGGCTTCTCCCCTACAAACATGTCTAACAAGCAAGCTAGGCCCTCCATGGAGACGGTAACCTTGCGGTGGCTCCCACTCTCGGGGTTCTGAGGAGGAGCAGATAGACTGACATGAGGTAGACAAGGGCTGCACAATAAAAATGGCACAGATGCCACTTCCAAGAACCAGAACTCTTTGCTGTCTGTAGAACTGAGTGGGATGGGGCAGTGGGGAGGCATGGGGGTGCCTGGGACATGGTGACCGTGTGATCAAGTCAGAAGATTTGAGGGCCTGGTCGTCTTGCTGGGAAAAGGTGGCAAGCAGGGATTTGAATCATTTTTCTTTTCCAGTCCTGGGATTTGAACTCAGAATCTAGGCAGGCACTCTATTTGAACCACATCTCCAGCCTCTTTGCTTTTAGTGAGTTTTTCAGATAGCTTCTCACATTTGGCTCAGGGTGGACTGGACGGTGATCTTCCTACCACTGCATCCTGAGTAGCTGGGATAACGATGAACACCACCACATCCAGCTTGTTTTTGAGACAAAGCCTTGCTCACCTCTTCTTGGGCTATCCTTGAACCTCCGAGCTCCTATCTCACCTCCTGAGTAGCTGGGATTACAGTCATGAGTCACCACACCTGGCCAAAGGAGTTTGACTCTTGATTCTTCTGCTGAACCCGGCTGAGTAATCTCAGACAGAGTTTGAGCTTCGTTTTCTGTGTCTGGGAGACAGAGTTGCCACACAATACCATGCAGGTGGCTCAAAATAGGAAGTGAGGTCTAATCTTATATACAGTGGAGTCACATTAAGAGGCCTAGCACTGAAGCCAAAAGATTCTCAAACCCCCAGTTCCTATCTTTTACTAACAAAAAAAAAAGAAAAATGAAAAGGGAAGCTGATTCGTTACTCATAGCTATTCTCAAAAGGAGCCCTACTGAGTTTTTTCACAACCCACAGCTGCTGAAAGTTCTCGAAAGCCCACAGCTCTGGTGTCATTCTCTGTTACCCCACTCTCTCCCTAGCATGTTCTGATTGAGACTTTACACCTTGCAGGGCCAGGCCCCTCCCCACTTCTGTTGTGAGCTTTCCCTGCCCAGCCACCTGCTCAGCCCCTTCTGCTCAGAGGCAGCAACATGTGGTTAGCCAGTCAGCAAGGTGAGGAACCTATAATTCCTGGCACATGTGGTTCCCCAAAGTGCCACCTTCTTTTCCAGCCCTCTCTCCACATCTCTGCTCAATACCAGAATTCTTGGAATTCAGAATGAGGTATTGATTTCCCCATCTTGGTCCCCAATTTGATTTCTTGTGAAATTAACTCCTTTGAAGGATGGAAAGACTTGGAGAACAGTTTAAATGTGAAGAGGGTGTTGGGCTTTTGTACCCCAGACAAGGTCCAGTGTCATCCATCTGTTCATTCGTTCATTCATTCATTCATTCATTCACGTATGAAGCAAACGTGTACCGAGCTCTAGAATTCATTCAGCACACAGCCAGTTGCAGAAAAGATAAGACATAATACCGGTGGCACAGGGCTCTCTAGTCCAGTCTAGGGTCTCCAAAGGTTTATAGGGCAGGGTCCTCTTGAGGGAGCTGAAGCCTGATGAGGCCTGGCTCAGGCTCCCTGGCAACCATCAGGTGCCTTCCCATCCTGTCCCCAGGGCCAGCTGCTGACTTAGAGCTCCTTCATGACCCATTGACCACGAGATGTGGAAGTCAACAGTATCGCCGAGGCGTAAAAAGCAGGTGACCAGGAAGCTTGGAGGCCAGGGACTCCAGAGCACAAGTGGTCCTCCACCCTGCCCCAGATGGAGCCGTCCCCTTGGGGCCCAGAGCACCTACTGAGCAGCCTGCACCGCAGTGAACAAAGCAGATGGACTCTCTGCCCTCACAAGGCCAGCATCTGGCAGAACTGCCACAGACATGGCGTCACAGTGGCAGGGCGCTCTGAGTTAGCACAGGGCAAGATACATTCAGGGCAGGGGAGGTGCGGGTTGGAACAGAGGAATCAAAGAAGACCCTCTGCGGATGTGACACAGCTGGGACCCCAAGTTCGCAGGCAGGTGGGGCCAAAGCAGAGATGGCGAAGACCCCATGTCTCCCCTCAAGCTCTTATGAGACCCTTACCACAGTACAACTTGGAATTGGGAAGGACAGAGAGGTCTGGTGCCCAAAACACCTCCAAGGAAACAGAGGATGGAAGGTGAGAGGCTATGTAAGGTGTGTGCGCGCGCACCCACGAGAGAGAGAGAGAGAGAGAGAGAGAGAGAGAGAGAGAGAGAGAGAGAGAAAAACTGAACAACCCCCTGGAGACTTCAATTGTCCCCAGTAAGAACAGTCAGATGTCCCCACCCAAGTGCACCAGGGAAGAGCTGGCCTGGACATCTATGCCACCCAGAGAGAGGCGGAGCTGAAACCACAGCCTGGCTTCTCCAATGCCAGCCACGTGAGACTTGCCTGTCTCCCTTTCCTTTTCGTCTCCGCCTATTTGGGAAGCAGAAGGAAGCCAGGGGGAAAGGAGGAAGGGGACAAGAGATGGCAATGGGGACGAATGTCATGATGAAACCCATCATTTTTTACACTTAATATACACTAGTAAAAAAGTTAAATAGTTAAAACCCCACTGTTGGGGAAGTAGGTAGAGGGGCAAGGAGAGGGAGGGGCAAGGAGAGGGAAGGGCAAGGAGAGGGAGGGAAAAGCTGCCTGTGGGGTGCGCAAGCAGCTCTGTGGTCTGGCCTGGAATACCCCATTAGCTGCTTGAGCTGCTGGTGCTTCTGGTAACGGCCCTGCTACCCCGCCCTTCCCTCCCTTCCGGCTCACTGCCCATCCTGGGTGCCCTCTGGCAGCCCAGGGAGGGGACACCTGGGCTTCAGAGACATCTGGCAGCGCCAAGAGGTGAGTCCCTCTCTCTGTGGCTCCTCTCCTCACCAGCCATTAGTCCCCAGATCCCCAGTCCTGCTGCCCAGAAGGGATTTCCCTGACATCCTGTCAAGGTCACCTCCCCCCTTACGCTGATGGGACCCCACTTGCTCTTGGAGTTCTCCCTTGGGGACCCTTTTGCTTGATGTAACTTGTATCCAAACCACAACTTCTCTGGGCTTTGGGGTCCTTCCACCCCCCCACCTGCCCTGTGGGCTTTTCATTGGGGGTGCAGCTGCTCTTACTAAGGAATGGGGGGCAGGGAGCAAACTCAGGGCGTCTAACTCCAGTTCCCAAGTACACCGTATGCACTCCGAGCTGCCCTGCTCTGATTCTTTGCCCCTCTCTCCCCAGAGTCTCAGGGGTCGCGAGGCCTCTACTTCCCTGGGACCACCCATCTGCCCTCTTTGCCCATGAAGCCACACTTGCTCTCTGCATTCTAAGAGGCAATTGTTGGAGGTCCAAGTCTCCAAGTCCTCACTTCAGATCCAGGCTGTACCGATACCTGGCTGTCACCTCCTCCTGCAGGCCTCAGCATCCTCAAGCGTCTCACCGGCTGGCTTTGGGTGGGGATCCAGGAGCACCTGCTCTCTGTGGGCCATCTGAGTACAGGTCGCAAGTGCAGCACAGGAGGCCGGCCCCATGGACCTGCCCCCACAGCTCTCCTTCGCCCTCTACGTGGCGGCCTTTGCACTGGGCTTCCCACTCAACGTGCTGGCCATCCGAGGTGCCGCATCCCACGCACGGCTCCGCCTCACTCCCAGCCTGGTCTATGCCCTCCACCTGGGCTGCTCAGACCTCCTGCTGGCCCTCACTCTGCCCCTGAAGGCGGTGGAGGCCCTGGCCTCGGGGACCTGGCCTCTGCCAACCCCACTCTGCCCTGTCTTCATCCTGGTCCACTTTGCCCCGCTCTACGCCTGTGGGGGCTTCCTGGCCGCCCTGAGTGCTGGCCGCTACCTAGGAGCTGCCTTCCCCTTTGGCTACCAAGCCATCCGGAGGCCATGCTATTCCTGGGGGGTGTGTGTGGCCATATGGGCTCTGGTCCTCTGTCACCTGGGGCTGGTCCTTGGCTTGGAGGCCTCGGGAGGCTGGCTGGACAACACCACCAGCATCCTGGTCAACACCCCAGTCAATGGTTCCCCAGTCTGCCTGGAGGCCTGGGACCCGGCCTCTGCCTGGCCTGCCCGCCTCAGCTTCTCTGTCCTGCTCTTCTTTCTACCTTTGGTCATCACCGCCTTCTGCTACGTGGGCTGCCTCCGGGCACTGGCCCACTCAGGCCTGAGCCACAGGCGGAAGCTAAGAGCGGCCTGTGTGGCCGGCGGGGCCCTGCTCACGCTGGTGCTCTGCTTGGGACCCTACAATGCCTCCAACGTGGCTGGCTTCGTGAACCCGACATGGGAGGCCCCTGGAGGAAGCTGGGGCTCATCACGGGGGCCTGGAGTGTGGTACTCAACCCTCTGGTGACTGGCTACTTGGGAGCAGGTCCTGGCCGCGGGACAGTGTGTGTGGCAAGAACGCCAGGAGGACCGACTCAGAAGTAGCATCCCCTGCTAGGGGAAGGGGGATGGGACGGGAGGGTTGGGTGGCTTCTCCAGGTCCCTGGTGGCTGGAACCCACGAGAACTGCAGGGCCATCTAGCCTAGGGCTATCCCTGAAGCCTGTCATGGTCAGGATTGAGGCTGGAGAGGAGGAGAGAGTGGAGGCCAGGACTGGGCACAGGGGAAGGTGGGTCTGCCCCCACATCCCTTCTGCCTGTGTGCCAGTGGGCTGCCGAAGAAGCCTGCTTCAATTCAGTGGGAACACCACCATGATGACACATTTCAGGAGTGCTACTCAAATCATTTCCCAGGGAAGAGCATTTTTAATTTCTGAAGAGAGGAGACAGCAGGCAAGATAATGGCGCTGCCATTTTGAACTCACAAGGGGGCAGCATTTGAGCTGTACACAGAAAGCTGGGGGCAGGGCAAACAGCACTGGTGACAAAGCATGTAGTCTCTAATAACGTGACAGGCACCATCAAGTGCTTTATCAGAAGTGTTGCTGTCATATCATCCTTACCCATCCCGCACCTTTTAAAAGGGACTACGACTTGCTGTGTCACCGGGGCTGGCCTGGGCTCCCTGGGTATTCTCCTGCTTAAACCTCCCAAATAGCTGGGACTACAGGAGTGTACCACTGCACCTGGCTCACACAACCCTTTGATTCTCTCAGGTGACCGCCAGATGGACAGGTTGTCACCACACACGGTGCCAGGCAGGGAGGCGTCAACACTGACTAAATTCTACCTTGGGCTCTTCCTCACCCAGCCATGTGCCTTCAAGGGAGGGAGCATTTTGTTTTCATTTGAAAAAATCACATTCCTTCAGTAGCTCACCTAGGTGTGGGCTGGTGCTCCTAGCCTACAAGGGTGTACCTTGCCCAAATTTACCTCAAAATGATGCATGAAGCAGTCCAGGAGGCAATGTATTATCATCTTTATTTTGTAGACAGCATTTTGCCCAAGACTTTACAGCAAGGACAGGGCAGTCAAGGAAAGTGATTCTTCCAAGTAAGACCCCCCCAAGCATCAGGGGACATTTGGAAAAACTTGGGATGCCAGGTTAATACTTAATATTGGTGGCTTATTTATTTATTTATTCATTTATTTTTGGCGGTAGTGGGGTTTGAACTCGGGGCCTCACACTTGCTAAGCAGGCACTCTACCATTTGAACCACGCCACCAGCTCTTGGTGGTCTATTTTAAGGAGGTGATGGGTGGCATCCCAGCCCATGAGAGGGGAAAGGCAGAAGGAGACAGACACCTGGCATCTGCTCTGATGAGGCCAGAGGAAGGAATTGGACTTGTTTTTTAACGACAGTAGTGCTACCCACATATAGGAGCACAGTGGTAGCCACGTGGCTGGTTGGTGTGACATTTTTGCAGGCTTAAATGTGTACAAGTGCAAGGCCTTTTGTTTTATTCGATGACTCGTTTCTAGAAGAGGGACAAGGCACTGATGTTCCTCACATCCCTGCCAAGAGAGTTCCTCCCTACTTATTTTGTAAATATGGAAAGAGACAGGCTGGAGAGGTTAAGTAAAGTTCTGCCTTGCACCCTTAGCAACAGCCAGGAATGAGAGGAAAAGCCCAAACTCCAGTCCAGGCCACCCCGCTCCCCGCCCCACAGTGCTCTGCTGAATTGGTGGGGGCTGGGCCCCTGCTCTGGGTAACCTGGGCTTCCTCCCACATAGGGGAGAATCCAGACCCTTCGTGGGGGGCCGAAGACCTGCACAATCCGCTCTGGCCTCCTCCCCCCACCCCAAGTCCTAAACCTTCTCCTAGTCCCTCAGGGGGGTCTGCTGTGCACCCCCATTCCCTCTGCCTGGAACATTTCCTGAAAGTCAGTGCTGTTGTGTTTATGCCTCCCTCCAGCTTCACAGCCACTAAATGTCAGCACAGTGACCAAAAAACTGCTTGCTCAGTTATACTGTAAACGACTTAATTGAAATATAATTTGCATATCATAAAATTCACTCATGCTAGGTTGTCCAGGCCAGTAATTCTCAGTAAATTTACTGAGATGAGCACTCTAGTCGCAGGACATTTTGCCGCCACCGGTGTATTTACGGTTCATCTCAGTTCCAGCCCTGGCTTCCTGACAGCCACTAATCTACTTTCTGTCTCTGAAAATTTGCCTGTCCTGGAGGGCTCATGTAAATGAGATCATGTAAGATGCAGCCTCTCGAGGCTGGCTTGTTGCACTTAGCATGACAGACGTCCATCCTGTGGTGGGATGTACGGTGGGTGTTTCTTTTTGTTGCAGGTGGACCACCCCAGGTGAGGTTTCTGGGGCGGGATTGTTGGGTTTTGGTTAACTGTGACTAATGCTGTTTAGAATATTTGTGAGCAAGTGTTTCTGTGCACTCATCTTCATTTCTCTTTAGTAAATAATACCTATAGTAGAATGTTGGGTTTCCTGGTAAATTTATATTTAACTTTTTTTGTTAGGATCGGAATTTGAACTCAGGGCCTTGCGCTTGGTAGGCAGGTGCTCTACCACTTGAGCACTTTTTTTTGCTACATAGTTATTTTTTCAGGTAGAATCTCACATCTCTGCCCAGGCAGGCCTCAGACCACAATCCTCCTGTTACCGGATGTGTGCTGTAAGGAGTCCCTGGTTCAGAAGATCTCAGGTCCTTGTGTCTCCTGAGCAGAGAATTGGACAGAGATACAAATTGCAAAACAGTAGCAAAGCCTCATTGAAAGGAAAGGAAAGAATATGTATCTCACCGGGAAAGAAAAGTGGTGGCCCAGCCCAGGTGGCACAGAAGAACGGATCTTTATTCAAAGGGCAATTAACATGTTTTAAGGGGATAATCTGGGCGGTCTCTGAAGGAGGGACTAGGGGATTGAGATGTTTGATTGACGAGGTCTTTAATTGTGTGTATGAGATGCGACCAAAATTCATGAAGTCTTAAGCAGAGGGCCTTCCCTGAGAGGTCAGATTGAGGACAGATTCCCCTGTACTGGGCATGTGCTGTTCTTCTGGTCTGAACCGGGAAAGACACTCCCCTTGTCTTTTGGGATTTACAATTAGAAAGGAATCCACAACTGAGGGGATGTTCAAGGGTGGCGCTGGGTGGGGAGGAGGAATTCAACGTGGGGTGACAGTCCCATGGTGGGTTACTTCCGTGTCACTAGTCCACCTCCTTCCCACCTGTGCTTCCCATGTACCTCAGATCACAGGTGTGCACCGTCACATCTGGCTTATTGATCAAAATGGGATCTCAATAACTTTTTGCCTAGGCTGGCCTCAAGCCTTCATCCTCCCAATCTCCACTTTCTGAGTGGCAGAGACTACAGGCATGAAGCACCATGCCTGGTTATCTTTCTCCCCAGCTCTGAATGAGAGCTCCATCTTCTCATCATCTTTGCCAAAACTTGGTGTTGTCTGGCTTTTTGCTGATGGCCATGTTGGAGTGAACAAATATATTGTCTCTGAAGTTGAAGAGAACCCTGGTACTTAAAGGAAAGACACTTACCATCATGAGGCAAAAGCATTTCAGGACATCCACCAATGATGTCCTAAAGAGCAGAGTGGCTGTGATGGGTAATGTGCCCACCAAAAGGCAACCGCCACCATCATTGACACCTCCATCACCTATCATCACCACCTAGAGACACACCTGCACCATGACAAGAGCTATGGCAGGAACAGTGCCAGCCTCCCTTCTAGGCCTTTGACAAATATGTTTTAAGCTATGAGGTTGTTGCTATAATTATCCCTGCTTTCTAGACAAGAACAGGGGACACAGAGTTGAAGTCACTTGCCCCAAATCACAAAGTTATCAAGAAACAGGGTCCAGCCTTCCGTCACCACACCACACCTCCTGCCCTCACCAGGCAAACTGGACAGGGTCATTCTAGAGAAAGGACAAAGCTTCAGTGAAGGAGAGAGAGGAGAGGACAGAATCAGCTGGGGCCTGGAGTGATCGGGCAGCCCAGCCAGAGCTGCCCCAGGAGCAAGGCCCACGTTGTGGAATTTGCTCTGCCTTTTGCATACGGCCCGCAGCCCTGGTAACAGAGCTCAAGGCATCTTTTGTGCGGTTGTTTCACAGCCAGTGACGTCACGGGCACTGCCAGGTCTTTATCATTTCTCTCGGATAAATCGCTCTCTGCACTTGGGCTGGAGGAGCGGGCAAGGTGGCGTGCGGCAGAGCGCTCAGGTTCTCCTGCAAGCAGGTGAGCGAGGGGCCGAGGGCTGCATCTCTGAGGTTTTTGCACTAGGGGAGCACCAAGAAACCAGGAAGGCTGGTGGGTTGGCCCAGGATGCGTGTGTGTGGGAGGGTGGCAGCCGTAATAGTGCTCCTGGCTGATGGATGAGACAGGAAGGAAGACCCCCCCACACACCCAGACTACCACCTCCATCTCCTTCTGTCTCTCCAGCGGCTGTGAGCATGGGGACAGTGCAGGACTGGACTCACTGGCTCTACTTCTCCGTGTACCTCTTTGCCTTCCTCGTGGGGCTACCCCTAAACATCATGGCTCTGGTGATCTTCGTGGGCAAGCTGCGGTGCCGCCCCGTGGCCATGGATGTGCTCTTACTCAACCTGACCATCTCAGACCTGGTCCTGCTGCTGTTTCTGCCATTCCGCATGGTAGAGGCCGCCAATGGCATGCACTGGTCCCTGCCCTTCATCCTCTGTCCCCTGACCAGTTTCCTCTTCTTCACCACCATCTACCTGAGCTCCCTCTTCCTCACGACCGTGAGCATCGAGCGCTTCCTGAGCGTGGCCTACCCGCTGTGGTACAAGACCCGGCCCAGGGTGGCCCAGGCTGGGCTAGTCAGTGGCATTTGCTGGCTTCTGGCTGGTGCCCACTGCAGTGTGGTCTATGTCGCTGAATTTTCTGGGAACATCTCCGAAAGCCAGGGTGCCAATGGGACCTGCTACCAGGAATTCCAGGATAACCAGCTGGCCATTGTGCTGCCCGTCCGGCTGGAGATGGCCGTGGTCCTTTTTTGGGTACCCCTGATCATCACTTGCTATTGCTACAGCCGCCTGGTGTGGCTCCTCAGCCAGGGACCCAGCCGGCGAAGGCGGAGAAGGGTGGTGGGACTCCTGGCAGCCACTCTGCTCAATTTCCTTGTGTGCTTTGGGCCCTACAACGTATCCCAAATGGTGGGCTACATCCAGGGAGAAAGCCCGGCCTGGAGGAGCTACGTGCTACTCCTCAGCACCTTGAACTCCTGCGTGGACACCATGGTCTTCTATTTCTCGTCGTCTAGGTTCCAAGCAGACTTTCAGCAGCTGCTGGGCAGGATGACGGGGGGCTGGAGCCTGTGGAGTCAGGAGACCAGCACAGAGCTGAAGGGAAAGAGCGGAGGAGAGGAGCGGTTGCAGGACTGTCCAAGCTAGAGAACAGGGTGGGCTCTCAGACTCAAGGAGGGCTGGCCCGGTGACCTGGGCTCCAAGTGAGACCCTCTGGGGCGGCAGGTACAGAGATGTACTGCCCTTAACGAAGTTCCCAGCTCCAGGTAGGCAGGACTGAGTAGTGGTGGACTGGGGCTTGATGTGGCTTGGGCCAGAGTCTTTTTTTCTTTTTTGGTAGTCCCGGGGTTTGAACTCAGGTCCCTGAGTTGGCTAGGTGGGCACTCTACCACCTGAACCACACTTCCAGCTCTTTTTGCTTTAGTTTATTTTCCAGATAGGGTCTTGTGATTTTTGCCCAGGGCTGGCTTTAGATTATGATCCTCCTGCCTACACCTCCAGTGGAGCTGGGATTACAGGCACTTGCCACCACGCTCAGCCTCTGTATCCGTTCTTTCAGAGGATGTGCTCCCCAAGCCCACTCCTGATTTCACCTCCCTCCTTTCCCATCCTCATGCAAGCCTGGGAATCAGCTCGGGGAAGTTGTCAGGGTAGTAGAATGCTCTGGAAGCAAAGGAATCTCCACCAGTAGGCAGCTGCTTTCCTGAAGGACAGGGAGGAGTTAAGAGCAGGAAGCAGGACTGGAAGCAGCTGCCCAGAGGCTTGGGAAGAAGAGGGAGGAAATCTGCCCTCCAGAGCTGCTGCTACCAGGAGTGGGGGGACACAGGGCTCCCTCACGTTGGCTTTTCCAGAAAATGTCCATTGCCCAGGGACACTGATGGACAATGACGGAAAAAGATATACCCAAATAAATTTGGTAGCAAGCAAAAGAAAACAGTTTTTTCTTCCTTTCCTGGGTTTTGAGTGGTGGATGTGGCGGGTGTGCTGAAATACCTGGACTGTGAGGATAAAGGGCCAGACAAGATGCCCAGGGGCTGGCAGAGGCCCCAGGTTGGAGGAAGCAAAATAACAGCAACCTCATCTTAAGGAGCTGACCTGATTCCTTAGCTTCCTGCGTTTCTAAATCGTGTGGTAGAGACTATTATTATCACTATTTATGGATGAGGACAGGCCAGAGAGGTGATATCACTTCCTTGGAACCCCAGATTGAGGTAGCTGGACTTAGTTGACTCCAAAACTTACTCTCCCAGACTGGGCATGGTAGCACATACCTGTCACCCCAGTTACTCATGAGGCAGAGGTAGGAAGACTGAAGTTTAAACCCACTTTCACTGACATGTGCTCACCAAGCAGGGCTCGTTTTCCACTGAGGGGTCCATGAGAAGCACCTAGCTTCCCAGTGAGACAACCAGAGAAATGCTACCCTGTTGGCACTCAAGCAGTTTTATTGCAGAAGCATTTATCAAGCGCCTACTAGGTATAAATGGCTGGGCTGGGAACTTCAGGAACCCAATACTAAATGAATGTTGCTTGGGTGCTGGGAGAAGGAGTAGCTGGGGGGGGCGTTGAGTGGGAGGAGAGAGACATCTCTGAAGTGGATGCAAACATGGATCTACATGGTTTGGAAACGAGCCAGTCCTGCAACTCCAAAATTGGCACCAAAGCTGGATTGAGACCTCCCTCAGCACCACCCATCTCAGTGACAGGCCTGGACAGTGAGGAGAGAAGCCATCAGAGTGTGGGCAGTGGCCTAGGTGGGGTGAGGGGAGTAGTCACATTCCCATGATCCCCCAGAGGGGTTCTCAGGACCTTGGATCCTGCACCATGTGGACAGAGGGGCAGAAGCAGAGAGGTAGTGATAAGAGTGTATGTGTGGTGACAGTGACAGACCATCAAGTACCAACAGGGCAAGAAGTGTTGAACTTCCTGTGAGGAGGGAATCCCAGCCAGCGTGGGTATTTTGGGGGTGCTGGGAGGGATCGAAGCAGATGGGATCTCCCAGGGCAGAGACCAGAAGGACCCACTTTCTGGCTGCCATGAAGAACCAACCAGAGAACCAACCATTGGGCATCGGACTCCCTGAAGACAGCAAAAGTAAAGCCCATTTCTCCCACTGTATGTGGCCCTGTCCCCTGTGGCATCTTTTTATTTCCTGTCCAGCACCTTCTTTTCCCTGCCCAGGAAACTTCAGTGCAGTAAATATATCTGACATCTCTTTATACGTGTGACATTTTGGAAGGACACCAGCCATTGTAAGATTTTTTTTTTTTTTTCACTTCCAAAGAACATTGGTTTCAACTTTTGGGGGACAACATCGCCCCTGGTGAGAACAGTGCTCTAGAGAAACACCCCATCCAGTAAGTGATAAAGCCCATCTCCCACTGCTGGAGCCCAGCAAGGTCAAGTTCATTGTTCTGCTGCAATGAGGGAAGGGTGTGTGTCCCACAAGTGGAGCCAAGGAGATGGAGAATAGGAGGTAAGGGCCGAGCAAGATGTGGAGGAAGCTGTGTCTGCCAGGCTTGAAGCACAGTGTGGGTGTGGTAAAGGGGTCACCATCGGGCCTAGGAGCCCACCAGAAACTCAAAAACAAAGGGGGGGAGGTGTCGCTGGGGAGGGGTGGAATGTGATCCAAGTGTATCATAGGCATATGTGGAACTACCAGAATGTGTAATTAATACCCTCGTGTAATTAATATATGCTAATTGAAAACCAGCCTTGGGCCCGAGCAACACCAAATGACGACAAAGGTAGTGTTGTGTGAGTGGAGTTCCTTCTGTCCAGCTCGGGGGGCGGGGGGGTTGAAAGTCAGAGGCTGGGACAGGGAGGCCCTTCTCACTGACGGGCGTCGAGCCAAGCTGCTGAGCACCGTGATGTTAGGAAACAAGGGTTCTTGGCAATATAATTTTGCGAATTAACTAAGCATGTTTTTAAAGACTTTTTTCTCTTGATGGTACTAGGGATTGAACTTAGAACCTCAGGCTAGCTACTGCTGTACCACTTGAGCCACAATCCCAGGTACTTTGTTTTTCAGATAGGGTCTCCTGCTAACTTTGCTATGTGTGGCCTCAGACTAAAATCCTCCTACCTCTGCCTCCTGAGTAGCTGAGATTATAGGCATCACTACCATGCCCTGCTGAAGTTTTTAAAAGAGAGTCTTTTCTTCTTAATCAAAACCCAGGGCAGTGCAATCCAGGAGAGAGGAAAGGGAGACATGGCTGGTCTTTGTCTTGGCTTACAGAGGGATGAGGAAGATATGGGGATTGTAACTCAACAAATGAGACCAGAAAACCCAGGAGGCCACCCAAGAGGTTACTGAGAAACTGACAGTGACCACTCAGTCCATCCTGATGGAAGGCAGTGGGTGGTGAGACCCCCAAAGGCCCATGCCCGATAAGCTCCAACTCAATCCACCCAAGCCAGGCAGAGGTGGGTGGTGGGCTGCCAAGCAGGGTGGAGCCATGGGGGATGGCCATAGAGCCTTTCCCTGGGGTGAATGCACTTCTGTGACCTCAGGTTTTGGATAGTTGGTGAGTGATCTCCCAGGCCGTGCAGCACCTGGTGGAGCCGGGGCAACGGCGACAGAGGACAGGGGATGCTGAGAGGGAGGCGAGAATGGACAGGGCTGCGGAGGTGGAAGAGAGGTGAAGGACAGACAGAAGGGGGTGATTGAGCAAAAGGCCAGGGTTCTGCAAAATGAGGTGCAAGAATCATCCAAAAAGAGGAAACAGCATCAACAGACAGAGAAAGTTCCTGGCAGAAAAGTCAGGTCAGGGGTCCTGGGAGAGAAGGGTCAGAAGTGTGAAACGAGCCTGGGGCAGGGGACAAGAGGGGGAAATAGTGAGAAAGCACTCAACTTTTGATCTTTTTCTGTTTGACAGCATAACTTCTTTGGGTTAAAAAAATAAATAAAAAGCCCACAAAAGAGACAGGTAGTTGTGGCCTCTCAAACTTCTTAAAAATCAGTGAGAAGTCTGCTGACTTCCCTTTGAGACAGTTCTGAAACACCATCCACAGGGAGGCAGAGAAAAGCATCAAGATGGCGCCCGGCTTCCTGGGAAGGGTTGCTGGGGTCACGTTCCAGAGAAAGAATAGGGTAGAAAGAATGGAAGCATGGCAGTGCATGCCTGTAATCCCAGCTACTTGGGAATTAATTGGGTAGGAGGATCACAGTCTGTGGGCAGCCCGAGCAAAACGTGCACATCTATATCAGAAAAAATGACTAAAGCAAAAAGGGCTGGCAGTGCGGCTCAAGTGGTAGAGCGCCTGCCTGGCAAGCACAAGGCGCTGAGTTCAAACCCCAGTACCACCAAAACCCAAAAAGAATGGAAACTGATGAACCCTGGTGGAGGTGAGGAGGGCCAAGTCTATTTCCCATGGGAGTGTGGAGTCAGGGGAGAGAAAACACTGGCAAAGAGAAAACGGGGTTCCGCAAAATGTCAGAAAGCAGTAGATTTTACTGCTCGTGGAGTGAGGCAAACAAATCAAACTCCATCACCTGCAAGTCCTCCAGCACCAGGGTTCAAATCCTGATGGACGCTGATCAGGACGATCTCGATCCACTTTGCTGGTGACTGGTCTCAAGATGGACATGTGACCCAAATCCAGCTAACAAATGTTAAGAAATCTTCTGGCAGGGGATGATCCTCTGGGAAAGGTATTCTTCCATCTCATAAAGAGATAGATCTTGAGTTACTGCTCTCTCGCCTCGCAATTTGGAAGATTTTGTGTAAGGATGTGATAGTTGGAGCTGCAGCAGCCACACTGGGATCATGGGGCTACACACTTCAGGACGGGTCAGAAGAAGGAAGAAGTAGGGTTAAAAGAAGCAGCACAGTGGAAAAATGGGAGTATCCTGGGACCTTGACTCTGTTAATGAATGTTCCTGTGATTGACTCACTGTCGTCCAGGTGTTTTCTAACTTGCGCCCGAATGCATTCTAATTTGGGTAACAGGTCAGCCTGCGTTTGACTGTCTTACATGTAATCAGAACCTCCCGGTGACCTCCTCTCTTACTTTGAAATACTGTGTGATCCTGGCATCTCCAGACTCTGCCTGTCTGCCTTGCAGGAACCGTGTAATCATAGCATTTGCCTGGTCTCTTGTGGCTGCACTTGGGGCAGTTTCTAATGGCTGCAGTCACTAGTATT